TGAGTGTGCTAGTGGTGAGTGTAGTAGTGGTGAGTGTACTAGTGGTACGTGTCTTTCCTCCTGATGACGATCGCTTGTGTTGTGATCGAAACGTCATAGTTTGTTTATTTTAAATTTACAATTTGTATTAACTTGTACCAATCTACGTGGCTTTACCGAAAGACCCAAAGAATATTGTCTTGTGTTTCTCGCTTGTGATGATAGAGCTTTATCTTCCATTGTTAACATCATTGTTTTCATTTATATTGCATTGCTATTTATTCATCTGATTTATTTTGCATTGTTTATCATCATTTATGTTCATCTTATTCATTATCGAATAATCATTATGATGATAATAATGATCTTCTTGGTTCTCTCGGTAAAGTCACTTATTTATATTTATTATGTTTTATTTTTATTATGTTATTACTTCCATTCTACGTGATGACTTTACCGAAAGAACCAAGAAGATGAATCCCTGCAGTCACGAACGCTTTAAATCGAAAGATAATAATGATCATTGTGGAGCGGTGGCGCAGTGGTTAGCGTAGCGGGTGAGGCCGTGCCTCGCTGCCACGTTTATGTATCTTTCGTGAACCGGTCCACAGTGGTCTTGATTCAATCATCGAGTGAAATGCGTGCAGAACGCGTGGGTCACGTGATGGCAGGATTTGTGTGTTGTCTTTCCCCCAGCACCATCGATTATCGCGGTTGGCTACGTACGGTGCGAAAGAAGTCCTACATACACGCATACATAGACTCACACAGAGACCCACAGACTCGCACGGAGACCCATAGACTCGCACATAGATCCATAGACTCACGAAGAGACGCATAGACTCCTCACAGAGATCCACAGACTCGCACAGAGACCCATAGACTCACACGGAGACCCATAGACTCACACAGAGACCCACAGACTCACACAGAGACCACAGGCTCACACAGAGACCCATAGACTCACACAGACACCCATAGACTCGCACAGAGACCCAGACTCACACAGAGACCCATAGACTCACACAGAGACACATAGACTCCTCACAGACATCCACAGACTCGCACAGAAACCCATAGACTCCTCACAGAGACCCACAGACTCACACGGAGACCCATAGACTCATACAGAGAGCCATAGACTCACACAGAGACCCATAGACTCACACAGAGACACATAGACTCACACATAGATCCACAGACTCACACAGAGACCCATAGACTCACACAGACACCCATAGACTCGCACAGAGACCCATAGACTCACACAGCGACCCACAGACTCACACAGAGACCCATAGACTCACACAGAGACCCATAGACTCACACAGAGACCCATAGACTCACACAGAGGCACATAGACTCCTCACAGACATCCACAGACTCGCACAGAAATCCATAGACTCCTCACAGAGACCCACAGACTCACATAGAGACCCATCGACTCCTCACAGAGACCCATAGACTCACACAGAGACCCATTGACTTCTCACAGAGACCCACAAACTCACATAGAGACCCACAGACTCGCACAGAGACCCACAGACTCGCACAGAGACCCACAGACTCGCACAGAGACCCACAGACTCACACAGAGACCCACAGACTCGCACAGAGATCCACAGACTCACACAGAGACCCATAGACTCACACATAGACCCATAGACTCACACATAGACCCATAGACTCACACATAGACCCATAGACTAACACAGAGACCCATAGACTCACACAGAGACCCATAGACTCACACATAGACCCATAGACTCACACATAGACCCATAGACTAACACAGAGACCCATAGACTCACACAGAGACCCATAGACTCCTCACAGAGACCCATAGACTCGCACAGAGACCCATAGACTCACACAGAGACCCACAGACTCGCAGAGACCCATAGACTCGCACAGAGACCCATAGACTCCTCACAGAGACCCTTAGACTCACACAGAGACCCATAGACTCCTCACAGAGACCCACAGACTCGCAGAGACCCATAGACTCACACAGAGACCCTTAGACTCGCACAGAGAACCATAGACTTCTCACAGAGACCCACAAACTCACATAGAGACCCACAGACTCGCACAGAGACCCACAGACTCGCACAGAGATCCACAGACTCACACAGAGACCCATAGACTCACACATAGACCCATAGACTCACACATAGACCCATAGACTCACACATAGACCCATAGACTAACACAGAGACCCATAGACTCACACAGAGACCCATAGACTCACACATAGACCCATAGACTCACACATAGACCCATAGACTAACACAGAGACCCATAGACTCACACAGAGACCCATAGACTCCTCACAGAGACCCACAGACTCGCAGAGACCCATAGACTCGCACAGAGACCCATAGACTCCTCACAGAGACCCTTAGACTCACACAGAGACCCATAGACTCCTCACAGAGACCCACAGACTCGCAGAGACCCATAGACTCGCACAGAGAACCATAGACTCCTCACAGAGACCCACAGACTCGCAGAGACCCATAGACTCACACAGAGACCCATAGACTCACACAGAGACACACAGTCTCACACAGAGACCCATAGACTCACACAGAGACCCATAGACTCACACAGAGACCCAGAGACTCACACAGAGACCTACAGACTCACACAGAAACCCACAGACTACTCACAGAGACCCACAGCCTCGCACAGTGATGTTGTCAACCGATTATCGCGGTTGGCTACGTACGGTGAAAAATAATTTCAACATACAACACACTCCGATTTCCATCAGGCCGGTCAAACGGTTGGCCAACACTTGCACGCAACGAATCCTTGCATTTTTTTTCTCACAAAAACAACTTGCGAATATGCAAAATAATTTTATCCTGACAGCTAACGGTCGACTGACCGTACCGCTATCATTTGTGGGCAGGTCGCTTCTTAAAAAAAGAACCCGTAAAAACTAAGTTTTTCACTATAAATCCTTTATATGCGTGGCATCGGTTTTATTTTATTATTCATTTCTGTTTTTCTTGAGTAAGAGTTTCATTTTTATCACATTGGTATTTTAAATTAAATATGACTTTTTTTTTCTAAAAAGTGGAAAATTTAGGAAAAAGTGGAAAATTTTGGAAAAAAAATTTTCACGAAAATAAATTGTCACGCACGAGTCTGTGTGCAAAATGTCAGCTCGATTGGATCACGGGAAGTGGGTTAAAACGACTGAAAGATGTGCACGGTCGTAAGCAAGCAAGTGAACTTAATATAAAGGATTTAAAACTAAGTTATTGCCTCGGTGGGGCTTTGTCTGGAAGGATGAGGGGGGGGGGGTTTAGTTGAAGTTTTTGCCATAAAGGATTAAAGCCTATTCTTGTATTTTGATACTGGCAAGGGAGGTCCTATGATGTAGCTGCTCACCACGAGCTCCCGATGCCCTGGGAATGGCATTGTCTTTGTGCCTGTGTCCTCTCTTTGGAATTTTCACACTTAAATTCTAACTTAGCAATCTTTGAAATACGTAATCAACCGGGCTATGCGTTAATTGTGTGTTGACTGACTCTCTGTGTTGCATTACATTACATTTCGATATTTTACTAGGTTATTTAATTTTAGTGTGTCTTTCTAATTTTCAAGCTTGCGTACCGTACCACGTCGTTGTCCACTCATTGACACGCTAATTTTTTCTCTGCCCCCTCCCTCTCTCTGCCCCCGCCCCCTCTATATTTAAGGCCTCGTCACAGAAACGACCTCTCTCTTTGTGCTGATACGTGTTCTCTCTCTCTCTGTGTGTCTTTGTGATATCTGCCTGCTTATATGTCTGTCTATAGTTTTCTGGTTAGATTTTTGTTGCTATTTCTTTTATACCTGATGACGATTTCTCGTGTTGCGATCGAAACGTCGTAGTATGCTGTTACTTAATTTATTATTTTATCTTTATACGTCACTTTACCGAAAGAACCAAAGAATGAATCAAAACCCGTTTGCGACCTCTGGCACGTGCCCCCCCCCCCCAGCCCGCACCCCGTTGCGGGCATGGAGATGGGAGCGCTACTGGAGCACGAGCGGCAGATGGCGCAGGAGGTGATGGCGGAGGACGGTCTGGTGGTGACGGCGCGCGGGATGGGCGCCGACCGCTTGCTGCTGCACCTCATCGCTCTGCACTGCGAGCCCGGCGCCCTCCTCGTCGTGATCAACACCTCGCCCGCCGAGGAGGTGGGCTGGGTGGTGGGGGGGGAGTAAGCGGGGAAGATGCCGCCGATGACGATGATGATAATTAATTAACACGTTCCATCGGAGTGGGCAGGTAGGAACTTGATAATTGGTTTTTTACCCTTCCATCTGGCAACAAAACTGACACCTTTTTTTACAAGGAGTCCTGTTTGCATAGACCGCAATACCTGCAGTCATAATGCAAACAAAAAACATAACTCTGATAATGTGCACTGTCCTTGAAGTTGATTGGTCCACACCCGAGACAGCTTTCCTTAGAGCCTAGTCTCACATGGTGTTGGACCAGATGACGCCAAAAGGCGCACAACTCAAAGACAATGCACCATCAGAGTATGAGAGCTCGGGGTAAAGCATTTACACCATTGGAACCTCATTTGCCAGTAAAAATATGATAATTGTTTTTTTACCCTTCTATCTGGCAACAAAACTGACACCTTTTTTTACAAGGAGTCATGTTTGCATAGACCACAATACCTGCAGTCATAATGCAAACAAAAAACATAACTCTGATAATGTATGCACTGTCCTTGAAGTTGATTGGTCCACACCCGAGACAGCTTTCCTTAGAGCCTAGTCTCACATGGTGTTGGACCAGATGACGTCATCTGGTCCAACACCAGGGAGTGGGCAGGTAGGAACTTGGTTGGACGGCGCATCCGTGTCGCGCGGCGCGTCACGTGGTGCTGAGCCCGCCCGAAGCGCTCTATGAAATACAAATCAAGGGCGTGGCTTTGCACGACAGACAGACAAAGAATCCCTGGTGGGCAATCAATCATAATTTGGAGCTTTCGTGACTGCAGGAATTACTCTTTGATTTTTTCGGTAAAGTCACGTATAAAGATAAAATAATAAGTTAAATACTAGCATACGACGTTTCGATTGCAACACAAGCCATCATCATCAGGTATAAATGAAATAGAAACACAAATCTAGTATAGTTAGAAATGGAATGTAATACAACAGAGAGTCGGATAACATAACAGTCAACACCCTACCTGGTTGATTACGTTCTTCCTGAGAATGCTAAATTTGACAGAGAGATAAAACACAGAACCAGAGACATATAGACAGACATATAAGTAGAGACAGATATCACAGAGCTACATAGAGAGAGACACAAACATAGGCACACAGAGAAAGCCACGTCTCTGTGTCGAGGCCTTAAGTAGAGAGAGGGAGCGGGGGCGGAGAGAGAGGGAGGGGCTAGAGAAATTAGCATGTCAATGAGTGGCACGGTGAGTAGTACGGTGCGAAAGCTTGAAAATTAGGAGACAGGGAGAGAGACACACTAAATTAAATAACCTAGCAAAATATCAAAATATAATGTAATGCAACACAGAGAGTCGGTCAACACACAATTAACTGCCCTGGTTGGGCAGTGTGGAACCTGTTGTTCCTACCTGTATTATTATTGTTGTGCACTGCTGTTGTTGTTGGTGATGGTGGATGTGCTTGCTGTTCGTGGTGCCGGTTGGCAGTGATCGTGGTGCTGCTGATGATGCTCGAAATGCTCGTGATCGCGGTGAAAGATGTGAGCCCAGTAGGAACATGACAATGCTGATGGTAATTTTTGATGATGATGATGATGCGTACGGTGCGAGAAAATGATGCTGATTATTAGTGCTGATGACGAAAGCTGCTGCTAGTGCTGATAATTACACTGGTCAACACACTTTTTCTGGCATAAGGTATTCCAACGGTTTGAATGTGCTGATTCCAAATCTGGCATCAGTTTTTGTCTATCACATCAGGTTTTTGAGATATCAAATATTGCATTTTCAATAAAAACTGCAGAAGAAAAATATGAAATAAATGTGGATATCTACATAAAATTATATTATAAACACACTATCCTAAAAATACAGCACCATAGTTTAACACTAAAGCAGTCACTGACTCGCAACAACTTGCAATCATAAGTGACAGTTAATTTCGGGTAAAATCAATGAAAATGGGGTATGCCGATAGCATAATAAGTATAACCCGTAAAAACAAAGTTTTCACTATAAATCCTTTATATGTGTGGCGGCTAGAGTCCTCTCGTCCTCTGTCTTGAGATGGCTGCCACCTATGGGTCAGATGATTGCATTGCACCATTCAGCAATTGGTAATTAAATATAATATTTTTGTCCTAAAAAGTGTAAAATTTTTGAAAAAAATTTTCACGAACATTAATTGTCACGCACAACGAGTCTGTGTAGAAAATGTTAGCTCGATTGGATCACGGGAAGTGGGTTAAAAACGACCGAGAGATTTGCACGGTCCTAAGCAAGCAAGCGAACTTAATATAAAGGATTTAAAAACGAGATGTGATAGAGCAAATCTGAGATCAGATTTGGAATCGGCACCCTGAAATTAGTCTAGAACAGCTGCAAAAGTCCAGGCCAGAAAAAAATGTTTCTTTTGTTGTTGACCAGTCTAATGATCACTCCTCTGATTATGACAGTCCTCTCGATGCCGACAACGCTGACGACGATGGTAACGGCGGCGCTGTTGCTGTTCCCGCTTGCTGGTGGCGGTGTTGATAATGATGCCGTTGATCGTGACGCGAACGGCAATAATAACACTCGCCGATGGTGACGATGACGTCGTTGACCATCTGTCCACAGGAGCACTTCATCGAGGAGTTGCGTAGGGCGGGCGTGTCGCACCTTCCCCGCGTCATCACTAACGAGGTGAGCGGACCGGAGCGCCAGGACGTGTACCTTCAGGGCGGTGCCTTCTTCATCACCAGCCGCATCCTCGTCGTCGACTTCCTCACGGATCGCATCCCCGCTCACCTCATCACAGGCGAGGCTTCGAGAGATCCGTGTCGCGCGGCGCGTCACGTGGTGCTGAGCCCGTCCGAAGCGCTCTCTATGAAATACAAATCGAGGGCGTGGCTACGCACGACAGACAGACAAATAATCCCTGGTGGGCAATCAATCTTAATTTGAAGCTTTCGTGACTGCAGGAATTACTCTTTGGTTCTTTCGGTAAATTCACGTGTAAAGATAAAATACTAAATTAAATACTAGCATACGATGTTTCGATTGCAACACAAGCAATCATCATCAGGTATAAATGAAATAGAAACACAAATCTAGTATACTTAGAAATGGAATGTAATACAACAGAGAGTCGGATAACATAACGGTCAACACCCAACCTGGGTCACAGGCCTGTGATCTTCGCGACGCTCGTTACGCTCGCGCTCGTACAGAGGTCGCAACCGGGTACCCGATACCTGTACCCTACCGATACCCGGCTACCCGTATCACCCGGCCGGGTACGGGTACCCGTTTGCGACCCTGGTGCGGCCGGGTACGGGTAGGTCGTGAGTCACTGGTGAGTCACCGTTTGTCACTCATTTCCCAACGTCTTGTTTCTTCTCACAATTCAAGTTCCTAGAATCAACCCACCCGCGCCTGCAACATGGCTTCATCCCAGAGGTCGCAACCGGGTACCCGATACCCGTACCCTACCCAATACCCGGCTACCTGTACCCGGCCGGGTACGGGTACCCGTTTGCGACCCTGGTGCGGCCGGGTACGGGTATGGGTAAGGAATCAAAACCCGTTTGCGACCTCTGCTGTCCCGTGACCTCCTGCCGGCGAGCCTCCGGCAACTTCCACGCGACGGCCTCGGAGTGCACCTGGCCTGGCGCGGGCGCCGTGGTGACGTCACCGCCGTGGCGAACGGCGGCCGCTGTTGTTGTCGTCGCTATTCTTCCCTGGCCACCCCTTCATCGGCGCTCGCGAACAGCGCTTGCCCTGGCAGCCTATTAAAAGCCGCCACGGCGTTGGCCGCGGTTGTTTCCGGCGCAGGAATCCTGGTGTACAAGGCCCACCGCCTGATCGAGTCGTGCCAGGAGGCCTTCGTGCTGCGTCTCTTCCGCCAGAAGAACAAGACGGGCTTCATCAAGGCCTTCTCCGACCAGCCCGTCGCCTTCAGCGCCGGCTTCTGCCGCGTGGAGCGCGTCATGCGCTCGCTCTTCGTGCGGAAGCTCTACCTCTGGCCCAGGTAGCCCCACAGCCGTTGCTGCTCCATCACGTGTCCTGGTGTGTGTCTCGGCGTGTGTCTCGGTGTGTCCCGACGTGTCCCGACGTGTCCCGCCGTGTCTCAGCGTGTGTCTTGGCATGTCCCGATGTGTCTCGACGGATCCCAACTAGTCTCAGTGGCCCTGCGTGTCCTGACATGTCCCCACATCTTCTTGGTTCTTTCGGTAAAGTCACGTAGAAGGGAAGTAATAAAATAATAAAAATATAAAACATAATAAAATAAGACGGCTGCTTGTGTTGTAGCCGAAACGTCGTGAGAATTATTTTATTTTATTATGTTTCATTTCTATTATTTTATTACTTCCCTTCTACGTGACTTTACCGAAAGAACCAAGAAGATGGATCCCTGCAGTCACGAAAGCTTTAAATCGAAAGTGTCCCCACATGTCCCGACGTGTCCCGCCGTGTCCCGTAGGTTCCACGCGGTGGTGCAGGCCAGCCTGGAGCGTCACCGCGCCGACGTGGTGGAGCTGCACGTGTGCGCCACGGCGCCGATGCGCGCCGTGCAGGCCGCCGCGCTCGAGCTGCTCGACGCGTGCCTCAAGGAGCTGCGGCGCAGCAACCCGGCGCTCGAGTCGGCCGAGCTGACGCTGGAGAACGCCGTCTCCGGCGCGTTCGACAAGGTGACCGCCACCGCCGCCACCGCCACCGCCGCCGCCACCGCCGCGGAAAGCAAACGTTCTGTTGGGCACGCAGGACCCCTCCCTCCTTCGACCCGGAGGTTCCAGCAAAGGGTTGCTTCGGTCTTACGAGCCTTGGCCCCGCCGTGCGTGCCGGAGTCACGTCCCTGTGACTTCGGTGGCTAGGAGATGTTAACTACCTCGCCTGGTGTACAGGAGGTCGTGGGTTCGATTCCGACCCTGACGCCTGCTGCTGTATATTTGGAGTTTGTGTCTCTCTCATCATCATCACGGTGGCTCGGAGATGTTATCTACCTCGCCTGGTGTGCAGGAGGTCGTGGGTTCGATCACGACCCCGACGCCTGCTGCTGTATATTTGGAGTTTGCGTGTTTCTCTCTCTCATCATTATCACGGTGGCTAGGAGATGTTGACTACCTCGCCTGGTGTGCAGGAAGTCGTGGATTCGATCCCGACCCTGACACCTGCTGTATATTTGGAGTTTGCGTCTCTCTCTCTCTCATCATCATCACGGTGGCTAGGAGATGTTAACTACCTTGCCTGGTGTGCAGGAGGTCGTGGGTTCGATCCCGACCCTGACGCCTGCTGCTGTATGTTTGGAGATTGCGTGTCTCTCTCATCATCATCACCACGGTGGCTAGGAGATGTTAACTACCTCGCCTGGTGCGCAGGAGGTCGTGGGTTCGATCCCGACCCTGACGCCTGCTGCTGTATATTTGGAGTTTGCGTGTCTCTCTCCCCCCTGTGGTGGTCACGGGTACGGGTACCCGTTTGCGACCCTGGTGCGGCCCGGTACGGGTAAGGAATCAAAACCCGTTTGCGACCTCTGCCGTGTAAGCCCATCGGATCCCTCCAGCGCCACTCAATTTTCCCTATTTTTAAATCATTTATATTAAGTTCACTTGCTTGCTTGCGCGCTTACGACCGTGCAAATCTTTCGGTCGTTTTTTAACCCACTTCCCGTGATCCAGTCGAGCGGACATTTTGCACACAGACTCGTTGTGCGTGACAATATATTTTCGTGAAAAAATTTTTTTCCTACATTTTACACTTTTTAGGAATTTTTTAAAATATTTCATTACCAATTGCTTAATGCTGGTAGACAATCATCTGACCCATAGGTGGCAGCCATCTCAAGCCAGAGGACGAGAGGACTCTAGCCGCCACGCATATAAAAGATTAACAGTGAAAAACTTTGTTTTTACGGGTTACATTTTTTTTTTGTTTCTTGTCCTCGCGCTCTCGCTCCCCCAGACGGTGCGTCTGCAGCTTGACCCCGTGTGGCACACGCTCAGCTGGCGCACGCGCGCGCTCGTCCAGGACCTGAAGCTGCTGCGCACGCTGCTGCTCTACCTGACACAGTACGACGCGGTCACCTTCCTGGGCCTGCTCGAGTCCCTGCGCTCCAGCCAGAAGGCCTTCGGGCAGAACTCCGGTATTTGTCCCGTTTTGCGCACGGCAGCGAGGTCGCTGGTCGCTTGTTTTTGTTTACGCGCCGGTTTTAAAGGCCCCCCCCCACTTAGCTGTGCATTTTACGGGCAGAACTCCGGTAGTTACCCGTTGCACACGGCAGCGAGGTCGCTTGTTTTACTGGTAGGAACCAGCTGGTTACACCAGCACACACACAGGGGATTATTGTGTTCGTACGTCCGTCGTGCATCCAAAAATGGGAGGGGTGGGGCTGGGTGGAGAGGGGAGGGTGGGGAGGGGCTGGGTGGGGAGGGGCTGGGTGGGGAGGGTGGGGCTGGGTGGGGAGAGGAGGGTGGGGAGGGGCTGGGTGGGGAGGGTGGGGCTGGGTGTGGAGGGAGGGGCTGGGTGGGGAGGGTGGGGATGGGCTGGGTTGGGAGGGAGGGGCTGGGTGGGGAGGGGAGGGTGGGGAGGGGCTGGGTGGGGAGGGGCTGGGTGGGGAGGGGGAGGGGTGGGGCTGGGTGGGGAGGGGCTGGTCACCCCGTGGTGCCCTTATAAAACTCAACGTTTAACCTATTTAATTTAATTTTGAGAAAAATCTCGAACTTCCCCATGGTAACGTCATTGCCACGCGGCAGAATGCCCCTCAAACCTTGCTCGGTTCAGCGCTGTCAGCGAGCGCCGTTTGTTCTTGCCGCTGTCGGCGTTGCCACGCGCCAGTTCTGTTCGGTTCTTTCGGTAAAGTGACGTAGGGTAGAAATAAAATAAAATAAAACAAATGACGACGTTTCGATCGCAACACAAGCGATCCTCATCAGGTGGGACAACTATGGCAAGAAACAACTGCTGAAGTGGGCGAGAGAGTTGCCGTGGCAAGAGGTTGTATCGGTGAGAGAGGGGGGAGGCAGGGTTGAAGATTAAATTTCGATTTAAAGCTTTCGTGACTGCAGGGATTCATCTTCTTGGTTCTTTCGGTAAAGTCACGTAGAAGGGATCGCTGTCGTCTCGACAGACCTGTTCTTCACCTGAGGACGGCTGCTTGCGTTGTGGCCGAAACGTCGTGATAATTATTTTATTGTGTTTTATTTTTATTATTTTATTACTTCCCTTCTACGTGACTTTACCGAAAGAACCAAGAAGAAGGTTGAAGATTCCTTGTGTTGCGATCGAAACGTCGTGATTTGTTTTATTTCATTTTATTTCTACCCACGCGACTTTACCGAAAGAACCACGGGGTATGGATTCCTGCAGTCACGAAAGCTTCAAATCAAGATGTGATTTTATAAGAAAAAATTATAAAAAATTATAAAAAAATTATTCAAAAAAGGTTGCCCCAGACCCACCAAATATCCTCTTCATCGTAATCGCCCCCCCAACCCCCCCTGCCCCCCCCCCACCCCTTACTACCCCCGCCCCCCACCCCGTAACCCCCAGGATGGCTTTTCCTCGACGCGGCCAACTCGCTGTTCGTCCACGCCAGGGCTCGAGTCTACGGCTACGGCGACGCCGACGGCAAAACCACCGGCAAAGAGAAAGCGCCGCCCGCCGCCGGGAAGCGGAAAGGTACGTCCTGCCTGGGGGTCACGCGGCGTGCCGGGGCACCGTCGTCCCCGGCGATCGTCGTCGTGGTCGTCCCCGGCGACGGTCGCCACTGTCGTCCCCGGCGATCGTCGTCCCCGGCGATCGTCGTCCCCGGCGATCGTCGCCCCCGGCGATCGTCGCCATCGTGGACCGCTGCTGAGGCCGTGCGCGGCGCAGTGTAAATCCGCGGCGTCTTGCGACCGCGGTTGCGAGCGGTGGCGCGGCGGTTAGCGCCGCGCCGCGCTAAGAACCCCGGCCACCCCGCTCGCGGCCAACACCAGCGGCGGATTATCTGAACCGGTTCTGGGCCTCCTCTAGGTTGACTCGGTGCAAAAACTAAGCACTGGGGGAGACAAAGGCGGGCCTCGTGCGCCGTGCTGGCCTGCTTCAAGCACGAGCACTTGTCCCAACCGTCCTTTAAAGGCTACGCGGGGGACCTTTGTCTTTGTAGAGGAGCGCAAGGCGCCGACGGTGGAGAGGAACCCCAAGTGGGACGCGCTCATGGAGGTGCTGGGGGAGATCGAGAGGGACGCCGACTCGTGCACAGAGCTCGGGCCGCCCGGTGAGCGAGTGCGGTGTGTGGGCGAGGGTGTGGTGTGGTGTGTGGTGAGCGAGTGTGGTGTGCGGTGTGGGTGAGGTGAGTGGGTGAGTGTGGTGTGTGGTGTGGTGAGTGGGCGAGTTTGGAGTGTGGGTGAGCGAGTGTGGTGTGATGTGTGGGTGGGGTGTGTGGTGTGTGTGTGGAGTGTGGGTGAGTGTGGTGTGTGGGTGAGTGTGGTGTGTGGTGAGCGAGTGTGGTGTGGTGTGTGTGGGTGAGTGTGGTGTGTGTGGGTGAGTGTGGTGTGTGGTGAGCGAGTGTGGTGTGGTGTGTGTGGGTGAGTGTGGTGTGTGTGGGTGAGTGTGGTGTGTGGTGAGCGAGTGTGGTGTGTGGTGTGTGGTGTGTGGTGGGCGAGTGTGGTGTGTGGGTGAGTGTGGTGTGTGGTGAGCGAGTGTGGTGAGTGGGCGAGTGTGGGTGAGTGTGGTGTGTGGTGAGCGAGTGTGGTGTGCGGTGTGTGGTGAGCGAGTGCGGTGTGTGGGCGAGTGTGTGGTGTGGTGTGTGGTGAGCGAGTGTGGTGTGTGGGTGAGTGTGGTGAGTGGGTGAGTGTGGTGTGTGGTGTGGTGAGTGGGTGAGTTTGGAGTGTGGGTGAGCGAGTGTGGTGTGATGTGTGGGTGAGGTGTGTGGTGTGTGTGTGGAGTGTGGGTGAGTGTGGTGTGGGTGAGTGTGGTGTGTGGGTGAGCGAGTGTGGTGTGGTGTGTGTGGGTGAGTGTGGTGTGTGTGGGTGAGTGTGGTGTGTGGTGAGCGAGTGTGGTGTGTGGTGTGTGGTGTGTGGTGAGCGAGTGTGGTGTGTGGGTGAGTGTGGTGTGTGGTGAGCGAGTGTGGTGAGTGGGCGAGTGTGGGTGAGTGTGGTGTGTGGTGAGCGAGTGTGGTGTGGTGTGTGTGGGTGAGTGTGGTGTGGGTGAGTGTGGTGTGTGGGTGAGCGAGTGTGGTGTGGTGTGTGTGGGTGAGTGTGGTGTGGGTGAGTGTGGTGTGTGGGGTGAGCGAGTGTGGTGTGGTGTGTGTGGGTGAGTGTGGTGTGTGTGGGTGAGTGTGGTGTGTGGTGAGCGAGTGTGGTGTGTGGTGTGTGGTGTGTGGTGAGCGAGTGTGGTGTGTGGGTGAGTGTGGTGTGTGGTGAGCGAGTGTGGTGAGTGGGCGAGTGTGGGTGAGTGTGGTGTGTGGTGAGCGAGTGTGGTGTGCGGTGTGTGGTGAGCGAGTGCGGTGTGTGGGCGAGTGTGTGGTGTGGTGTGTGGTGAGCGAGTGTGGTGTGTGGGTGAGTGTGGTGAGTGGGTGAGTGTGGTGTGTGGTGTGGTGAGTGGGTGAGTTTGGAGTGTGGGTGAGCGAGTGTGGTGTGATGTGTGGGTGAGGTGTGTGGTGTGTGTGTGGAGTGTGGGTGAGTGTGGTGTGTGGGTGAGTGTGGTGTGTGGGTGAGCGAGTGTGGTGTGGTGTGTGTGGGTGAGTGTGGTGTGTGGTGAGCGAGTGTGGTGTGTGGTGTGTGGTGAGCGAGTGTGGTGTGTGGGTGAGTGTGGTGTGTGGTGAGCGAGTGTGGTGAGTGGGCGAGTGTGGGTGAGTGTGGTGTGTGGTGAGCGAGTGTGGTGTGCGGTGTGTGGTGAGCGAGTGTGGTGTGTGGGTGAGTGTGGTGTGTGGTGAGCGAGTGTGGCGAGCGAGTGTGGTGTGTGGGTGTGTGGTGAGCGAGTGTGGTGTGTGGGTGTGTGGTGAGCGAGTGTGGTGTGTGGGTGTGTGGTGAGCGAGTGTGGTGTGTGGGTCTGTGGTGAGCGAGTGTGGTGTGTGGTGTGTGGTGAGCGAGTGTGGTGTGTGGGCGAGTGTGGGTGAGTGTGGCGAGCGAGTGTGGTGTGTGGGCGAGTGTGGGTGAGTGTGGTGTGTGGGTGAGTGTGGCGAGCGAGTGTGGTGTGTGGGTGAGTGTGGTGTGTGGGTGAGTGTGGCGAGCGAGTGTGGTGAGTGGGCGAGTGTGGAGTGTGGGTGAGCGAGTGTGGTGTGGTGTGTGTGGGCGAGTGCGGTGTGTGTGGGCGAGTGTGGTGTGAGTGGGCGAGTGCGGTGAGTGTGTGTGTGGTGTGTGGGTGAGCGAGTGTTGTCTAGCGAGTGTGGTGAGTGGGTGAGTGTGGTGGGTGGGCGAGCGAGTGTTGTCTAGCGAGTGTGGTGAGTGGGTGAGTGTGGTGTGTGGGCGAGTGTGGTGTGTGTGTGTGGTGTGTGTGAGTGTGGTGAGTGGGTGAGCGAGTGTGGTGTGGTGTGTGGGCGAGCGAGTGTTGTCTAGCGAGTGTAGAGTGTGGGCGAGTGTGAAGTGTGTGTGAGCGAGTGTGGTGTGGTGTGTGTGTGTGTGTGTGAGCGTGGAGTGTTGTCTAGCGAGTGTGGTGTGTGTGTGAGTGTGAGTGTGGTGTGTGGGCGAGTGTGGTGTGTGGGTGAGCGAGTGTGGTGTGTGTGTGTGTGTGAGTGTGGTGTGTGAGCAAATGTGGTGTGGTATGTGAGCGAGTGTGGTGTGGTGTGGTGTGTGGGCGAGCGAGTCTTGTCTAGCGAGTGTGGCTCCCCTCGCTCTCGCATCGTGCTGTGCGTACTCCCCCGTCGATTCATCGCAGCCCCCGCTCCCCCTTCTTTCCCCCACCCCACCGTGTCCCCCAGGGCCCGTGCTGATCTGCGCTAGCGATCACCGCACCTGCGCGCAGCTGCAGGAGCTGCTGCGCGTGGGACCCGACGCTCTGCTGCGCCGCCTGCTGTCGCGGGCGCCGGGACGCGGCGATCCCTCGGCCGCCGCCGCCGCCGCCGGCGCCGCCCCTCCTCCCTCGCCGCCGCCGCAGCCGCTTCGAGGACGCGGCGGCGGTGAAGGCCGCCGCGGCTGGAGGGGCGCGGGGAGACGGGGCGGAGGGAAACGGGCGCGCGGCGGTACGGGGGCGGCGGCCGCTGAGGACGGGGCCCCGGACGGGGGGCCCGCGCGCAAGAAGGGCCGGGGGGACGCGCGGGAGGCCCTGACGCTCACGCAGATGCTGGGCGGGGATGAGGCGCAGCACGAGGGGAGGTGAGGGGGCACGCTGGGCTGCTGTGTGTGTGTGTGTTGGTGTGTGTGTGTGTTGCTGTGTGTGTGTGTCGCTGTGTGTGTGTGTGTCGCTGTGTGTGTCGGTGTGTGTGTGTTGCTGTGTGTGTGTGTGTTAGTGTGTGTGTGTGTTGGTGTGCGTGTGTGTGTCACTGTGTGTGTGTGTGTGTTGCTGTGTGTGTGCGAGTGTTGGTGTGTGTGTGAGTGTGTGTGTTGCTGTGTGTGTGTGTGTGTGTTGCTGTGTGTGTGTGTCACTGTGTGTGTGTTGCTGTGTGTGTGCGAGTGTTGGTGTGTGTGTGTGTGTGTGTCACTGTGTGTGTGTGTGTGTCGCTGTGTGTGTGCGAGTGTTGGTGTGTGTGTGTGTCACTGTGTGTGTGTGTGTTGCTGTGTGTGTGTGTGTTGCTGTGTGTGTGTGTGTTGCTGTGTGTGTGTGTGTTGGTGTGAGTGTGTGTGTCGGTGTGTGTGTGTGTGTGTTGTTGTGTGTGTCGCTGTGTGCGTGTGTGTTGCTGTGTGTGTGTTGGTGTGTGTGTGTTGCTGTGTGTGTGTGTGGAAGCTACCTGGTCTGTCGCTCTGCACGAAGCTTCAGGTCTTCTCGGCCACAGGCATTCCCTCCCTTCGCTACGCTTGCGAAACGTGGACCCCCCTAATGGAGCATCCTCGCCGGTTGGAAACATTTAGGCTGGCCTGCCTACGATCCATCCTGGGTTTAACCAGGCTGGATTGTGTGAGGAGCTCACAAATCCTTGAAAGATCTGAGCAAAGTCCCATCGGTGAGCTCCTCCGGCAGGCAAGGCTGCGTTGGCTGGGTCATGTAGCCCGCATGCCCAGCCACCGCATGCCTAAACAGCTTTTGTTCGGCCGGATCGAGGGGGCTAAACGTGCGCGGCACGGGCTAGAGAAGGGATGGAGTGATGTGGTACAGGAAGACGTAGAGCTGAGTGGACTTGCCGATGACTGGTACCAGCGGTGTCAAGATCGGCCTCAGTGGAGGAGGCTCGTGAAGGACGCTACTGGGCAGTTGGAGGCAGTCGCCCTCCAACAACAACGGAGGGCGGAGGAGCGACGCTCACAACAACGAGCGGAGCGCCGGGTGGCTAAAGCACAGCAAGTTGGCACAGTAGGGGGCACAGGTGGTGCATCAGCCAGTCATCTCGGTCATCTCAGTCAGTCGACCCGTGGTACCTGGGTCTGCCCCGTGACCTCCTGCCAACGGGCGTTCGACACTTCACGTGGCCTCAAGGTGCACATGGCCTGGCACAAGCGTCGTGGTGACGTCACCGCCACTTAGTGGAGAATGGCGGTTGTTGTTGTGTGAGTATGTTGCAGTGTGTGTGTGTCAGTGTGTCTGTGATGGGGAGCGGTGGTGTAGCGGTTAGCACACTGCGCTATGAACCCGGCGACTCGGGTTCAATTCCAGCTCAAGGCAAACACCAGTGACGATTATCTGAACTGGTCCTGGGCCTCCCCTAGGTCGACTCAGCCTCAAATGAATACCTGGTGCGGTGTGTAAACATCTCCACTGGGGAGACAAAGGCGGTCGGGCGTGGTGCTGGCCACCCACCTCCTCGTGCGCCGTACCGGCCTTCATAGGTGCTCGTTAACAGCACTTGCCTCTACAGCCTGTTAAGGCTACACGGGGGATCTTTGTCATTTGTCGCTGTGTGCCTGTGCTCGTGTGTGTAAGTGTACGTTGGTGTGTAAGCCGGTTCATGTGCTGGTGTCTACTGTTCCAAGTCGTGTGTGTGACTGTGCTCATGTGTGTAAGTGTACGTTGGCGTGTAAGCCGGTTCATGTGCTGGTGTTGACTGTTCCGAGTCGTGTGTGTGTCTGTGCTCGTGTGTGTAAGTGTACGTTGGTGTGTAACCCGGTTCATGTGGTCGTGTTTACTGTTCCGAGTCGTGTGTGTGTCTGTGCTCGTGTGTGTAAGTGTACGTTGGCGTGTACACCGGTTCATGTGCTGGTGTTTACTGTTCCGAGTCGTGTGTGTGTCTGCGGTAAAACCATTTTTTATTGTTTCTGGTTATTTTTCCACGCGGTGACCGGCGATACGAAACCTCGATTTTAAATAACCCCGGTGAAAAGTGGCCGCGGGGCGCACTTGGATTTGCTTCGCCGGTACCGGCACGTCAGTTTAACGCTACGCACGCACACAACGCTACGCTGATGCACGCACACAACGCTACGCTGATGCACGCACACAACGCTACGCTGATGCACGCACACAACGCTACGCACGCACACAACGCTACGCACGCACACAACGCTATGCACACAACGCTCCACTACGCACACAACGCTACGCACGCACACAACGCTACGCACGCACACAACGCTACGCTACGCACACACACAACGCTCCGCTACGCACGCACACAACGCTCCGCTACGCACGCACAGGGCACCTGGCGCAGACGATGGGGGGGACCACGTCGCCGCCACCACCGACGACCTCGG